TCCGGCCCCGAGTGCACGGTCCTGGTGCCGCCCGGAGCCCGCAGCCTCCTCGTCACCGCCCGCAATTCCCAAGGGAGCTCCAGCCCTGCCAGCATCCCCCTGGAGCGGGCTGGGGCTCGGGAAGGTAGGATGGCAGCTCCCGGGGAGCAGGGAGATGCTGCCGGCACAGCCCTGCCCGCCCCAGCGAGGGAGCACAAAACCCTCCGGACAAATCCAGCGACCCCCGGGGATGCCCCACAGCTGTTAAAGGAATTCTGGAGTGCTTTGGGTTGAGAGAGTCCTTAAAGCTCATCTCATTTCACTGTTCCATGACAGCTCCCACTGTCCCAGGCTGCTCCAAACCCATCCAGCCTGGCCTTGGGCACTGCCAGGGATCCAGGGACAGCCCCAGCTGCTCTGGGAATTCTATTCCAGACCCTCCCCACCTTCCCAGGGAACAATTCCTGCCCCAGATCCCATCCAGCCCTGCCCTCTGGCACTGGGAGCCATTCCCTGGGTCCTGTCCTTCCATCTCTTATCCCAAGCCCCTCTCCAGCTCTCCTGGAGCCCCTTCAGGCTCTGCAATCTCAGCCCTTCACCTCCCAAGGCTGCAACAGCAAAGTTAAAAATCAGTTTGTCGGCTGGCAAAGCCAAGGGTGCAAAGGCTGCTCCCTCTGCCAGCCCCCAGTGTGAGCTGGGCCCCTCCAGACTGGAAAAGAACAGAAAAAAAAAAAAATCCTTTCTAAATCATTTTAGGACCACCTCATGCTCCCTGTGGCCCGGGCTGTGGTTTTCCCCACAGCCACGCTCTCCTAGGTCTGAAAAACGTCTCTGAATGAGCAATGGGAGGGGAAAGTCCCATTCGAGCTGAGGACAAATAGATGACTAAAAAGAAACTGAAGAGAAATAAGGTGGAAAAAACTCTCTAAGCTCTGGTGTTTATCAGAACTGTGCACGTTTCTGGTAAAAAGGGACATGTGAAACATTTCAGGGACGTGACAGAGCCGAGGATGTTTGGGATTTACAAGCACAGAACTCCACATCTGGCTGGGGATGAGCACAGCTGGCCAGGAGGGCCAAGGGCACACGGGCAGTGCCAGCCCAGGAGGGGCTGGAGCGAGTCCAGGGGAGGGAACGGAGCTGGGAAGGGGCTGGAGAATCCCTGAGGGAGCTGGGAAGGGGCTGGAGAATCCCTGAGGGAGCTGGGAAGGGGCTGGAGAATCCCTGAGGGAGCTGGGAAAGCTCAGCCTGGAGCAAAGGAGGCTCAGGGGGAATTTCTGGCTCTGCACAAGTCCCTGGCAGGAGGGGACAGCCGGGGGGATTTGGGATCTGCTCCCAGGAACAGGGACAGGAGGAGAGGGAACGGCCCCAGGCTGGGCCAGGGGAGGTTTGGGTTGGATATTTGGGAAAATTCCCTCATGGAAAGCTTTTCCAGCCCTGGCAGAGCTGCCCAGGCAGGGGTGGAATCCCCATCCCTGGAGGGATTCAAAAGCCACACGGATGTGTGACCACAGGTCAGAGGTGCCCTTGATCTTTAGGGTCTTTTCCAACCTAAATAATTCCATAAAATACAGGTCAATACATAAAGATAAATTAATATATATATTTTTTTATCTGTTTATATATAAACCCACCCTATTCTGTAATTTCCTATTCACCCTTCCAAGGAAAACCACATTTCCCCTGGGCTTGGCTGACTCTCCATTCTCCAAGGATGAGTTTTGACATCCCCTTTCCCTCTTTCTCCACAGAATTCCCAGCACCAGGAGCTGTGGAGGTGAAGGCTGAGGGGCAGAGCAGGTTCCTGGTTCGGTGGCAGCGGCCCCGGCACAGCCGGAGCCCCCTGCTCTGCTTTGTGCTGGAGTGGGATTCCAGCTCCCAGCACGGCCAGAACCAGCTGCTCCTCTGGGAAAAAATCCCACAGCACCAAACACACACCTACATCCCAGGTAAAACCTCCCAGGTAAAACATCCCAGGTAAAACATCATCCCAGGTAAAACATCCCAGGTAAAACATCCCAGGTAAAACATCCAAGGTAAAACATCCAAGGTAAAACATCATCCCAGGTAAAACATCCCGGGTAAAATATCCCAGGTTAAACATCCCAGGTAAAACATCTCAGGTAAAACATCCCAGGTAAAATATCCCAGGTAAAACATCCCAGGTAAAACATCCCAGGTAAAATATCCCAGGTAAAACATCCCAGGTAAAACATCCCAGGTTAAACATCCCAGGTAAAACATCCCAGGTAAACATCCCGGTAAAAATCCCAGGTAAAACATCCCGGGTAAAACATCCCGGGTAAAACATCCCAGGTAAAACATCCCAGGTAAAACATCCCAGGTAAAACCTCCCAGGAATCCCTGAACCCCTTGGTGCGGCTCATCAGGATGGGATAAATCCAAAAATATAGAGTATAAATCCAAAAATATAGAGTGTAAATCCAAAAATAGAGTATAAATCCAAAAATATAGATTATAAATCCAAAAATATAGATGTAAATTCAAAAATATAGTGTAAATTCAAAAATATAGAGTATAAATCCAAAATAGAGTATAAATCCAAAAATAGAATATAAATCCAAAAAATATAGAGTATAAATCAAAAAATGTAGATTATAAATCCAAAAATAGAGTATAAATCCAAAAATACAGAGTATAAATTCAAAATAGATTATAAATCCAAAAATATAGAGTATAAGTTCAAAAATAAAGATTATAAATCCAAAATAGAGATTATAAATCCAAAATGTAGATTATAAATCCAAAAATAGAGTACAAATCCAAAATAGAGCATAAATTGAAAAATATAGAGTATAAATCCAAAAATATAGAGTATAAATCCAAAATAGAGTATAAATCCAAAGTATAGATTATAAATCAAAAAATAAACATTATAAATCCAAAATAGAGATTATAACTCCAAATATAGATTATATACCCAAAATACAGATTATAACTCTGAAAAATCGATTATAACTCCAAATATGGATTGTAACCCTAAAATATAAATGATAACCCCAAAATATACATTATAACTCCAAAATATATATTATAACCCCAAAATAGAGATTATAACCCCAAAATAGAGATTATAACCCCAATATAGAGATTGTAACCCCAATATCAATGTTATAACCCCAATATAGATGTTATAACCCCAAAACAGAGATTATAACCCCAAAATAGAGATTATAACCCCAGAATAGAGATTATAACCCCAATATAGAGATTGTAACCCCAATATCGATGTTATAACCCCAAAATAGAGATTATAACCCCAAAAATATAGATTATAAATCCAAAATAGAGATTATAACCCCAAAATAGAGATTATAACCCCAAAAATATAGATTATAAATCGGAAATAGAGATTATAAATCCGAAATAGAGATTGAAAAGGCAGTTTGATTTGAATTGGAGCCCCTGCCCGCTTGTTTTTGGGGAGCGGGGCTGTGAAGAGCCCTGAGGGGAGAAGGAGGAGGGGAGAAATTGGAGATTTGAGGGCAAAAAATGGGATTTGGGTCCCTGGTGAGGATCACAGGGAAAGGAGGGGAGGAAGATGAAGTCAAGGTGAGCAGGAACAGCACCAGACCCACCAAGGCAAATCCATCTGCATCCTCTGGCCGCTCAATCCCAAGGCCCTGAGCAAGCCCAGAGGCTTCAGAGCAGATAAAAAAGGTGATTTTGAGGGTAAATCTCATTTTTCCCAGCGGCAGGAGCTCCCCTGCGCGTGCGGCTCTACGCGGTGTATCCCGACGGGATCAGCAAAGCCAGCTCCAGCCCAGGTGAGCAGGATCCAATCCTCACACAGCGATTTAGGAACAGGATAAACCTCCCCAGCCAGCAGGATTGGAAAATAGAGGGGAAAATCAATGGATTTGTATAAAAGCCGTCTCTAGCCGGGCTCTGCTCCCCTGCACAGACACAAAACACCCAAGAACATTTTCCTTCACCAGTGGGGCCGTTGTCTCTTTCCCTGGCAGAAAAGTGAGGCTGCAAATGCAGAATTCCCGAGGAAATGTTAGGGATAAAGCAAAATCCAGCAAAGAGCTTTTCCAGGGAGCAGCTGGGCAGAGCCAGCCTGGAGTGGGAGCCACAGGAGGGACAACTTCAGCTGGATCAGCGCTGGGAAGGGCTTGAGGGAAGGAACATCATCATCATCATCATCATCATCATCATCATCATCATCCTCATGGCTGGGGGTGGCTTTGGGTGTCCTCAGGAGATCACAGCAGGGTCTGAGCTCCTCCCAGGGCTGAGGTTTAACCAGAACCCCAGGGCAGGGGGTGGAAGGGCCAGGAGAGGCTGGGCAGGACCATTGAGGGCTGGCAGGACCAGAGGCACCCGCAGGTGACAGCTGAGGGTGTCCCCAGCCCCGGTGCCCTCCGAGATGGATCCTCTGCAGCTGCCCAGGGATTCCTCCTGTGCCCAAAGGGCTCCGTGGCTCTGCTGGCAGCTCTGGGAGCTGGAAGTTCTTCCCAAGGGATGGAAGCAGGCACTGCTGGCTGGCTGTGCCATTCCTGGGCACTGTCCTCGGGCCAGGACCCTCCCCTCTGGCACCAAAAGTTTGTCAAGGATGAGGGATCCCGAGGGAATTGCTGAACCTGGCCAGGATCCAGGCTGGCCGCTGATTTTAGCAGAAAGAAGATCTTGGCAGGGTCCTCAGCTGCAGATCTTCCCTCTCTGCATGGAAATAATGGGGGAATTCATTCCCGTGGGGTTCAGGCACTGGGGGAAATCACAGAATGCCAAATGGTTTGGGATGGGAAGGACCTGAAATCCCACCCAGAGCCACCCCTGCCATGGCAGGGACACCTCCCACTGTCCCAGGCTGCTCCAAACCCATCCAGCCTGGCCTGGGACACTCCAGGGATCCACAGCTTCTCTGGAAAACCTGTTACACAGCCTGGGAGTGCTGAGGAAAAACGATGGAGCTCCCCAGAGGGGCTGGATCCTTGTTTTGGGTGCTGAGGGAAGAGGTTTCGTAGACGGGGACAGATGTTGATTAACATTTTGTTTAATTGGATCTCTGGGAAATGGGAGGTTGTGGAGAGCCCAGGCAGAGCTGGAGTCATTCCGGCTTTGGGGAGCTTCATTTTCCTCATCATGCCGTTATTTATTTTCCTAAAAAGATGAAGCCAGGGCAGGTTTTGTGTCAGCCACAGCCCTGTGAATGAAGCACAGACATTTTCCCCTCTCTCTGTTGCAGTCCCTGCGGAGGAGCCGCTCCTGGGCAGCGCTCACGGCGAGATGTCCCACGGTAAGGAGGGCAGCTCCGCCTTGCTAAGCCCGGCTTGCTCCTGGCCTCAGGTGGGAGGTTTAACCCCAGCAGCTCCTGGAAGTGGGAATTGAGAGCTCCCAAATACTTTGGGGAGGTCAGAACCCCAAAGAAAAAGACATTTTCACTCTGTGGGGACACTCGTGCAGGAAAGGCCGCGGCGCTCTCGGGGATGAGCAGCACCCACAGAGCAAAAACTTTGAGTTTTGCTTTCTAGAGAGGTTCAAATATAACCTCCAGCACCAGGAAAATATCAAATTAACCCGTGAGAGAGTGAATCCCTGAGCCCCAGGAGTGACCTCCTCCCTCTCACCCCCTTCTCACAGATGACATTAGGGTTTTCCTGGGACTGAGCCTCAGCGTGCTGGGATTGTCGGTTCTTTTCGCAATTCTGATGTTCAAAAAATCAGTCAGGAAAAGGTATTCCTTTCTCCCCCATATCTTTCTTCTTTATTTCTTATTATTTACTAATTATTATTTCCAAATCATCATTTTTTTAAATTTTTTTTTTTAATTTTTTTTGATGTAGAAGAAATATAAAATTTCTTCTGGGATGATTTAAAATCGACTACAGGGTCCTTTTCACCTCAGCCTGGGGGTCAATGTCACACATTTTTCAGGTTCTTGTATGAAAGGACTTTTTGGTGCTCTACAGTAAGGCAGAGAGCAACCACAAGAGTGAAATAAAATTAGTATCATCTTATTATATATATTATATATTGCATATATTAAATTATATATATTATATATTGTATATTATATTATATATATTATATATTATATTATTATAATTATATAATAATATATTATATATAATATAATATACAATATATATAATATAATATAATATAATATAACATAATATAACATAACATAACATAATATAATATAATATAATATTAATATATTGATATATTATTATATATTATTATAGTATTAAGTTATATTAGTATATATGATATTATATATTATATAATAGATATAATATATAATAAATATAATATTAATATATTGATATATTATTATATATTATTGTATTAAGTTATATTAGTATATATGATATTATATATTAAGTTATATTAGTATATATGATATTATATATTATATGATATTGTATGATATTATATGATATTATATGATATTATATGATATTATATGATATTATATGATATGTTATGATATGTTATGATATGATATTATATTATATATTATATTTTATATTTATAATTTTAATATAATATATATATATATATAATTATATATATTTCATATAAAATGAAAATGAAATTAGTGAGATTGGAGAAAGGGGAACCCCAAGTTTCCAAGCCCCTCTCAAAGGCTGGGTGTTCTTCACGTGTCCTTCCAGACACTTTTATCCTGCAGGAGGAATATCTGAGTAATAAATTGGATTTAAATTTGGGGTTTGTTTTTGTCCTTCCTCCCCAGTTTTATCCTGCAGGAGGAATATCTGAGTAATAAATTGGATTTAAATTTGGGGTTTGTTTTTTCCCTGCTGGTGAAGGACTAAGGCCACCCTTGTGTCCCTCTTGCCGAGGTGGCTCTTTGAAGACTTTCCCCGCATGGAGAACAGCAAAGTGGTGAAGTCACTCCAGGTGAGGGCAGAGTTTTCTCCTGGCTTTGCTTCCCCTCAGGTTAAAGCTTGGATTCACACAATCACAGAATTATCCAGGCTGGAAAATCCCTCGGAGATCGTTGAGTCCCCAACCATTCCCAGCAGTGCCAAGGCCACCACTCCCGTGTCCCCAAGTGCCACATGCACGGGGATTTTAAATCCCTGCAGGGATGGGGACTCCAGCCCTGTGCCAGCACTGCCCAGCCCTTTCCACAGAGAAATTTTCCCCAAAATCCAATTTAAACCTCCCCTGGCACGACCTGAGGCCGTTTTCCCCGGCAATTCCTCGTTCCCTGGGAGAGGGCAGCTCAGTGGGAGCTGTGAGGAGCGTGGGTGGGAGGAAGTTCAAGGTGCTGGGAACAGCTCAGGAATCATTTCCCAGGCATTTGCGAGGTGTGTGGGAGCCTGGATTAGCTGAGGTCTTTAAACCTTAATTCCACATTCCCTGTGTGGCCACAGCTCCGGGCTGGGAGGGACCTTGGAGCTCATCCCACTCCATCCCCTGGGCCAGCTTTGCTCCGAGCCCTGATTCCAGCTCTCCTAGAACAGATTTTACCAGTTTGTTGCCACATCCATCATCTTTCCCCAGGACCAGGGCGATTTCCCCAGCGAGAGCCCCCGGGAGCCGTTCCCGGCCTGCGGTGACCCCGCGGTCACGGAGCTCCAGGAGGTGCCGGCGCAGGAGCGGAGCGAGAGCCTGGACACGGAGGAGCACGGGGAGCTGCCCAGGAGCGTGGTGGTGACCCCCAGCAGCACAAGCCCAGAGCAGCTCGGAGCCTACAAACCCCAGCTCTCCATCGGGACCACGCCGGGATACGTCGCGGCCGGGATTCACCCGCAGCCGCGGCCAGCGGAGATGGGAATCTTCTCCCAGGACTACAGCAACCCTGTCCCCCAGCTGTGGCAGCAGCAGGGGGGACCAGCCCAGCTGTGCCTGCTGGAGAAGATCCACCTGGTCCTGAACAGCAGCCAGGCGTTCCCAGAGCCGGCGGGATGCGGATCCTTCCCGGAGAAGCGCTGGGAGCAGAGGCCGCCCAGCGATGTCCCGGAGCAGATGCTGGTCCCCGAGGAGCTGCTGTCCTGCCTCAGAGCTGTCAACAGGGAGCCTGTGGATGGAAATCCCTGCTTCCCACAGAGCGTGGGAGGGCTGTTCGGAGAGAGGCTGGAACTGGGATAAAGCCCTGGAGCACCGGGATTGCCAGTGGAAGAAGCAGAGCAAAGCTCCGGGTTGGAATTCTGCCCTCTGAACTGCTGCAGGCTCTTGGGGCTGCCTGGGGATCTTGGGCCAGCAAAGCCCAGTTTTAACCTCACCTCAACTGGCAGAAGCAAAGAACCCACCAAGCTTGGATTCCTGGAATGCTGAGCAGGAGATTCCTGCAGGGTGCAATATCTTCAGTTACTGCTCAACATCGTCCTCTCCTCAAAGCTTTGGAGCATTTCATTCCCAAAGGTTTGGAGCATTTCATTCCCAAAGCTTTGGAGCATTTCATTCCCAAAGGTTTAGAACATTTCATTCCCAAAGGTTTAGAACATTTCATTCCCAAAGGTTTGGAGCATTTCATTCCCAAAGGTTTGGAGCATTTCATTCCCGAAGATTTGAACCATTTAATTCCCAAATGTTTGGAGCATTTCATTCCTGAAGATTCGAAGCATTTAATTCCCAAAGGTTTGGAGCATTTCAGTCCCAAAGGTTTGGAGCATTTCATTCCTGAAGATTTGGAGCATTTCATTCCCAAAGCTTTGGAGCATTTCAATCCCAAAGGTTTGGAGCATTTCAATCCCAAATGTTTGGAGCATTTCATTCCTGGAGCTAATTGCAGTTAAAACAGATAAAAAAATCCCTCAGACATCCTGGCAGAGATGTGGAAAATATTTTGGGATTGCTCCTGAGGAGCAGACACAGCACCAAGGAGGATTACTGTACCAATTTCTGTCTCACACAGGTGAACGTGGAACCTTTTCTGTCCTTTATTTTCCTCCCATTCCCAATAAAAACCTGCCAGGCTGATTTAAAATCCCTCTGAATCGCTCACTGGCCAAATCCTTCCCTTTGGGTGAGGGATTTCTCATCCCACGGCTCTTCATCACGCTGTGGGGAGAAAAATGGGATTTACCAGGCACAAGAACATGAATTTGGACACCCAGAAGATGAAACACAGCAGCCTCCTTCCCCCAGCAGCCCTGAAACCGTTTCCAGGTGTTCTGCGACTTAGAAAATATTCCTAAACTTTAGGAATTCCTAAAAATTCCTAAGTTTAATTCCTAAACTTAGAAAAAATTCCTAAATTTCCCCAATTTTTCCTAAGCACTGTGAGCATTTCTCCACCAGCTGTGGCACAAATGGATTAATTTTGTCGTTTTTCCTCTCAGTAGTTCCAAAGCACCTTGGTGGGTGCTGTGGCTGTTCCTTTACACCCCCAGGAATCTGTCCCTGCTTCCAGAGGAGCAGTGACCTGGCAAGGAGGGTGAGGATTCTTCTTCAGATCAGCAAAAAAAAAATGCAGAAATGTGAGTGTGGCACGGCAGGGAGCCTAAAATTAGTGAGTGCTGCCCGTGCAGGAAGGAAATTGTACAAGAGCAGCTTTCAGCAGTGTGAGGTGGGGAAGGTTTTTGTTTTTTCTCAATGTCCACATCCTGAGGCTTGTGCTGCCAAACCTCGAGGGGGGAAATGCTCCTCTTGCCTGGAAACAGAGCTGCTGCTGCTGCTGCATTTCAGGGAGCTGCTGGCTGGATTTGCAGCCCCAGGAGCAAAGCTCCTGCTCTTCCAGCAGGGATGGAGCGATCCCAGCTCCCACCATGGGCAGAGAGCCGTGGGTGCCAGCCCTCCTCGGGAGGTAAAAGGAAATATTTCTGTTTTCCGTGGGTTCAGCTGGAAAATCTGGGCTGGGAAGGGCACAAATACACACACACACACACAGAAATTCAGGGATGAATGCCCAGGGAAGCTGTGGCTGCCCCTGGATCCCTGGCAGTGCCCAAGGCCAGGCTGGAGCAGGTGGGAGGTGTCCCTGCCATGGCAGGGCTGGCTCTGGATGGGATTTAAAGTCTCTCCCAACCCAAACCTTTCTGGGATTCTGTGATCCCAAACACCATCCCAGGCTGCTCCAAGCCCCATCCAACCTGGAACACTTCCAGGGATGGGGCATGTCATGAATCCCATCACAAAGTCACTCTGGACTGATTGAACACCTCAGGGTTCCCTCAAACATTACAAACTCCTTTGTATTTTTGCTATCAGGTTTTTCTATCCCCTGTTTAAAGCTCTTTTTTTACTGTTGGCAGTCGGATCCAGAGATTCCCAGTTGTTGTTGATCAGCTCAGGAATGAATTCCATCATTTTCACGACCCACAGAGATGCTCCACGGCGCTGCCTCATCACTGCCAAGGTTCTAACAAAACCACACTTAAAAAAAAAAAAAAGGACTTTTTATACAAAGGGAAAGAGGGAACAAATGGAAAGAAACAAGAAATGGGGTGCAGACAGCTCAGGGGGGAGAACAGAGATCCACCCACTCCTGCTCCATCCCATCAGAGCAGGATGTGTCTACGGGGAGCAGCTCAGGGCTGCAAGGAGATGCCACCACCACCAGAGCTCAGCCAGAGACTCCCCTGTGGGACCTGTTCACCTCTTCAAAAAGTCAGCTTGGAAATGATTTAAAGCGAAAGGAGGATAAAGAAACAATAAATGAATTTAACACACAATAAATGACGCACTCAACGCTCATCTGAGTCACGCTTTTGAACCCTTTGTGCCATTGCCATGCAGGAGGACGTGGAATTCATTCTGGTTTCAGGTTGGCAGCGCAGAGAGCTGGGTTTAGGCTCAGCTTAGTCACCAACTGATGGTGTGACTTCATCTGCTTCTTATCTGCAGAGTCTGGCTTACTGCAGCTGGTGAAGGCTCAGGATGGAAGGTAAAAGTGCCTTAAACCCTTGGGGAGGAGCAGCAGGAGCAGGAGGTGACAGAAACATCCTCTGAGCACCTGCTGCAGCTGGGTTTTACCCCCTGCTCGCCCTCAGAGGGGTTTGGCTGTCAGTACATCGTGGGAGAGGTTGGGTGGCAGACACAGGCGCTGCAGGGGCTAAAATTGGATTTCAGGCTGGGAGGTTTCACAGAGCTCAGTAACACCCCGAGACCTCCGGGGATTTCTGAGTGCTCTGAGAGGAGATCAAAGCCCAGATTGTGGCCAAGGCTCGTGCAAAGCTGCAAAGAAGTGCCTGGGTCAGCAGAAGCCTTCTGAAAACGTGGTGGGGCTAAAGCAGCTGAGGCGGCCTCGCAACAAAACTGAGAGAAATCATTAAAAATTATGGGATTTGGGGGAGCCTCTCCATTCCCTGAGCCTTTGAGGGGTTTTGGGAGGAGTCCTGACAGGGCTGAGCTCAGGGGCACAGACCAAAAGAGAGGATGTGAGAGCTGAGGCTGTGCTCTGGGCCCCAAATGTCATCTTCCCAGGACAAATCCCATGGGAACGGCACCGGGAAAGCCGTGGGAGCAGGGCTGGAATGGAAGAGAAGAGCAGAACACAGGGAATGAATTACAGAGGGGATGTAATAGGGGAGATTCTCTCCTCACAGCCAGGAGTTAACCTTGCCACAGGGACACAGAAAACATCACAGTCCAATAAAGGATACAGATGTTGTGGCTTCTGTGCATCATCATCTCCTGGGACAGCACCAAACTCCTCTGGAGCAGCACCAAACTCCCCTGGAGCAGCACCAAACTCTCCTGGAGCAGCACCAAACTCCTCTGGAGCAGCACCAAACTCTCCTGGAGCAGCACCAAACTCTCCTGGAGCAGCACCAAACTCCTCTGGAGCAGCACCAAACTCCTCTGGAGCAGCACCAAACTCCTCTGGAGCAGCACCAAACTCCCCTGGAGCAGCACCAAACTCTCCTGGGAAAGCACCAAACTCTCCTGGGACAGCACCAAACTCTCCCCCTGGCTCCAGCTTTGGCTGGAGGCTCAGAAGGAAGCAGAGCACTGGGATTTTCCAGGCTGGAGGACTCATCCCATCCTGCTGGGGAAGGCAGAGTCACCGAGAGCCCCTGGCACACAAAGGGATGGAAAACACGGAGCCACCGCAGAGGGGACCCTAAAACTGCCACCCTGCAGGGGGGTGGCTCATCCTGCTGCTGCAGCTGGGGTTCAGCTCTGCCACACCACAATTCCATGGACACCAGGGGGAAGTTATGGAGCTGCTGGAGAGATTCCAGAGGAGTCCCTGGAGCTGCTCCAGGGCTGGAGCCCCTCTGGAGCCAGGCTGGGAGAGCTGGGGGGGCTCACCTGGAGAGGAGAAGCTCCAGGGAGAGCTCAGAGCCCCTTGCAGGGCCTGAAGGGGCTCCAGGAGAGCTGGAGAGGGACTGGGGACAAGGCCTGCAGGGACAGGACACAGGGAATGGCTTTAAGCTGGAAAAATGGGGGATTTAGGTGGGATTTTGGGAAGGAATTCCTGGCAGGGAGGGCGGGGAGGCCCTGGGATAGAATTCCCAGAGCAGCTGGGGCTGTCCCTGGATCCCTGGAAGTGCCCAAGGCCAGGCTGGATGGGTTTGGAGCAGCCTTGGAAAGCAGAGTTCAGTGTTTAAAATGAAGGGAAAGCAGGAAAGGAGAAAAAAGGAAGGGGAAAAGATTAAAAAGATAAAAAGGATTAAAAAATACAAAGAAAAAAAATTATTTAAAAATATTAAAAAGTTAAAAAAATATATATAAAAGAGATGCAAAAGATAAAAATAAAAAAATAGGAAAAGATAGAAAAGATAAAAAAGATAAAAAGGATTAAAAAATATAAAAAAGGTAACAATAAAAATTATAAAAAGGTAAAAAATATAAAGATAAAAATATTAAAAAGGGAAAATGGAAAAGAAAAAAAGGAAGAAGAAAAAGGGAAAAGAAAAAGGAAAAAAAGGACCAAAAAAAAGAGAAAAAGAAAAAGAAAAAATAGTAGAAAAAGAAATTTAAAAAAGGAAAAGTAAAAAAAGACAACAGCAAAGAAAAAAAATACAAAAGGAGAAAAGAAAAAGGGGGAAAAGAAAAATGGAAAACAAATATATAAAGGAAAGAAAATCAGAAAAAATAAAACCTAAAAAGATTTTTAAAAGAAGAAGGAAAAGGAAATAAGAAAAAAATAGAAGTGAAAGGAGGGTGATTTCCTCCTGCCTGTCACTACAACCCCAACCTCTGATCCCCTGAGCCATCCAGCAGCATCTTCCCTCCGACACCTGCGTGAGAGGAACCGAGTGAACATTCCCAGGAAATCAGGAAAAACAGGATTGGATCCCACAGAACTCCTGGTGCTGTCCTGGCTGAAACTCATCCCAATCCTGGGGCAGCCTCCTGGAGCTGGGAAGGGCCCTGGAAAAGAGGAAGAGTCACGGGAACCGATGAAGGCAGAGGAGAAACGAGAGGTAAAAAGAAGTTTTTGATATTTGGAATTCTGTGAGGTATTTCCCCCTCCTCCTCCCCACCCAGGAAATTAATTATTAATTAATGATAATTATTGGCAGCTCTGGAAAGGAGCCCAGGCCTTTCTCCTGGCTTTGAGAGGGAGGAAAAGCAGCTCAAAGGCAAAATTTTGAGGGAGGCTCAAAGGGAAAATTTGGGATTCCTGGAGGCTGCAAACTTTTGTGTCGCCTCATTTCTGAAGCTGTGCCTGAAATTCCTGTGCTGAGGTGTCCGAGGGAAGGAAAGCTGATCACAAACAGCCAGAAAAGCTGAGCTGATGTCATGGGCAGCCTGAAAAGAGAAGGAACAATAGCAGCAAGAATGAATTCATTTAGAGCTCTGTTAAATGCTCACTATCCCAGATATTCCCTGCACCCTGGGATGGAGCAGCCCAAGGAGAGCAGCTCCAAAGGTCCATCCTGAACAATCCCTCCCTCATTCCCTGGGCTCTGATGAAATCCCCCAGGATTTCTGATAAGGTTTGGGGTGAGCTGGGGTGTCACTGTCCTCACAGAGCCTGGGGACAGCCAAAGTGCAGGAAATCTTCCCTAAAACCTCAGCCAGTGCCAGGGATCTGGGGAGATTTGGGGCACAAAGAGCAGGGTTGAATGACCGAGATGTTCCTCCAGCAGCTCCTGGACAGCACAGCAGAGGTTTTCCAGGGAGAAGTGGGGTTGAAAGCCAGCTCTGGAGCTGTGGTGCTTCAGAGCTGGAGGCTGAGGGGACAGCCAGAATCCCTGTGCCACATCCACAGGGTGACAGAGAGCGTGGCCTGCCACCCTGGTGCTCCCAGAGGAGATTTGGGGGATAAGAAAACACAAAAGCAGGCGCAGGTTGGTACCCCACGGACACCTGGAGACTTCTCCCCCTCCCCTTTGTGTTTCATCCCCTAGAGCCAGCAGTGCTGATTTCCCTCCCTTGATGCCTTCCTGGAGCAGAGGCTGGGCAGGGTTAAAGGAATAAAACAGGGATTTATTAAAAGCCCTGGGCAGTGCAAGAGCCCGGCCGTGGCTGCACCCGAGCTGGGCTCCGAGTCACGAGTTTCACACTTTGATAAATTCTGCTCCATGAATTAATTGTCCAATTCCAGCCCCAGGTGATGCAGTCCTCACCCTCACAGGTTGCTCCATCAATTCCCTGCTGGTTGTACCCTTTGGGCCTGGAGCTGCAATTTCGTCTCCCTGAGCTGTGAGAACTCGCTGGGGCTTTCTGTGAAGTTCAGAGTTAGGCACCAATGCAGAATCTGGAAAATATGAAAGTTAAAACACTTCAGGCATCACACTGATGTGGAATCCAGGGGGTTTCCATTCATTTTCCACTCTCAGCTCTGAGCTGGAGGTGGTTCCTCAGCAGTTCCTCACCCTTTTCTCCCATCTCAGTTAAATCTCTGGCAGCTCTGAGCTTTGAGGTGAGGCTGTTCTTCCCCTTGTCCCTGGTATTTGGGGCAGTGATGCTGGATCTTGAATTTTTTTGGGATACTCTTTCACAGAGAGTTTCATTTATTTTAGTTTTGTGTTAGTAAGAATACTTTAAAAGCTCATTAAGTTTCTGTTTCTTATGTTTATTAATATATTATCAAAAGACTTGACAGTCTTTCTTGGACAGTCTTTCTTGGACTTTCTGCTTATTATTG